ATCATCAGCCTGACAGTCAGTCTCAGTCAGAGTCACTCTGACCTCACAGTGTTAGAATTCATTCACTCAGTGGTAGGCAGGTACTTTTTTTATTTAACCAATCGCTGCTATTTGGTTGTGACGTATGTAATGTGCCGATAATGGGGCTAACTAGTATATTAAGCTTTTCCCAAATCCAGTAGGAAGAAGGACAATAACGTCTTTCCCCCTGATGAAATTCACCAGACTTTCTCTTTGTTCCGGCTTTAAATCCTCGATCTGTGGAATTGTGGCCAATACTGAATATATGACTCTTCGCTGATTGGCTGGTGCCCAAACTTGCACTTCCAAGGTTCTTGCAAACCATCTATTGTATTCTGATTCCTGACCTAGTTGCTGGAGAGAAATGAAATTGAGAGGAGGTGGCACTAGATGGCACCAGCCTGGCTAGGAATGTTCCACAATATGACATTAAACGTGTCTCCTTAAAGGTGCTTTATTACGCAAGATGGATTTTTTGAGCTCCTCCTCAAAAACCCAGACTTATGATTTGTTTCACTCACACATGTTTGAGCAACCCTTTATTATGAGTCTGTCTACATCTCCAAAACTCAAAATGCTCTGTTCCACCTTGTGATGTCATGAAACGGTAGTTTTCAAGTTAACAGCTGCAACTTTTTTTAGTAAGAGATTGGCAATTCCAGAGCTGAAATTATGCAAATGATTCTAGTGAAAGTGTATGGAGTTTAAAAACACAGTCTAAATATGCAGGGTTTGTGTGTAAAATACAGAATATAGTGTAATATGGGCCCTTTAAATACAAGCATGTGTCACCACCAGGCCAAGTTACAGGTCAGATCTGTGGAGTGGCATGTCTGCTCACAGTAGGAATGTATGTTTTAAGCATATTCTCTTTACACAAATACAAATCCCTAAATACCATACCTTATATCAAGGGTCTCCAACTTTTTCCTTCTGTGAGCTACTTTTAGTAAAACAAAAATGCTAGAGAGCTACTCATTTTAGTGGTCGCTAGAAATGTAGTAAATATAAGAGCCATGGCAAGCTGTAGATTATCCAGTTATCAGTGCACAAAATTTGAGTTATTTAGGACTAGGGATGGGCATTTGATGAAATTTTCTTAATCGATCGTCGGAAGAATTAACGATTGAATATCGATTAATCATTAATGTTTTTATATGAAAATGATCATCATTATTATTACTATCTGCACTACTAATCTGCATAAATAAATTCAACTTTACGACATATAAACCGTAACGACTCTAGAGCCACATCAATCCGTTTGACATTATAATGTGTTTAATTCAGTTTTGCGCAACTCTCACAGAAACAAAACTTAAAACCGCATCGCTAATTTGCATAAACTAAGCGAAGATAAAACTACAGCTCTTGTGTCGCTGATGCGGTCAACTTTTGTCGGATTAAAAGACATGACTCAGTGGAATACAGGTTAGTGTGACCATATTTGTGTTTTGTCAAAACCAGGACACCGTACGGGGGAGGGAGGTGGGGACTCGTCATTGACATTGCGCGACTCTCACCTGGAAAAACTTTTTCCCACTGGACACCGAAACATATGTTCCTGCTTTGTACACTGTGCACATGGACTCAAACTTGTCCCGAACGCAACGGAAAGCGTGGAATTTCTTGTACAAGTCATCATTAATGTTTGTGTCTCTCTCCTTCTGAGTGCAGAGAGCTACATGTACGGACCCATGTTTGGTCACGCTACACACAGCAACCTACATTCAGTTTGTCGATTAAAATTAATGTAATCGATGACATTCTTAATGATCAATTATCGATTAATCGATTAATCATGCCCATCCCTATTTAGGACAGTGGTATAATTCAGAAATCCCTTGGTGAGCTAGTTGGAATGGGGTGAAGAGCTACTGGTAACTCCCAAGCTACAGGTTGGAGACCCCTGCCATATATGAATACCTTTTATGAAGAACTTGAATCTTGAACTTGAAATGACTAGCAGGTTACATAGAGCATTGTTTCCCAAAGACTGGTTCGTAAGAGACATTCGCCTTGTCACGATCTGCATGTAGGTTTGCAATATACCTTTACATACATCTCTGCACCCCCCTCCACTCCTCACTTTTTCTCCTTGCATGCAATCTCCGCTCCTCACTTCCTCTTCCCCCGCTCCACTCACTTTTTCCACAGCACCGCCTTGCCTAAACACTGATTATTGTTTTTCATTGCTTAAAACAGACAGATTCACTCAGTCAACAATAAAATATCCTCATGAATGTTCAATAATGCTCAAATCCACCTTTATTTTGTGAATTACGAATAATGTCTATAGACTTGGGTCACGAAGGTTTGTGACTTTTAAAATATGGGTCCCGAGAAAAACTTTGGGAAACACACGTAGTTCATCTTTAAAGTGAAGGTGCATTTTATTTGAGGCCGTTGTCCTTGGAGAATACAGGGAGAACGTCCAAACTCCAACCAGAAAGGTCCGGGAATAGAACTAGGGACCCCTTTTTTTTGCCAGGCGATAATACTAACCGCTCTGGCACCTAATCCCCTATCATCTTACACGTGCAGCCCCCCCCCCTCCCTCGGACCGAGTGTGATGTCTTTACCTGGTGGGGTCTGAGCAGCGCCGTCTATCACTCTTATAATTCTCCCCTCTTGTGTCCGTGCCCGTGTCTGTCTCCGGCTTGAAATATGCGTCTGGTGATTCAGCAACAAAAGCACGAAACATCTGTAGATCTGTTGTGTTTTGTTTTCACAGCTGTGAGATGGATCTGTACGGAGCAGAGGAGACATACCACACATGAGACTCAAACTACAGACCCGGCCTCGGCTCTAGACGCATCTATCAAACTACAACAGGCTTATGTCATAGTGAAAGTTTACAACAACTTTAAATCCAGCTCTGTCTTTTCAGGCCTTTTCATTCGTTCTCATTTCCCCTCTCGGAGTTGTACCTGGAGTGACTTGTGCCTGTTTGAGTCATCTTTAATCGTTTATTTTCAAGACGCCATTTTGACAATTACACACATGCGCCCACTCCTCTCGACTTACTTCGTTCTCTCGTTTTATTTTCTTCATCTGTGATACGTGCAGGATTCAGCAGTGCCGTGCACACATTTTCATGCAAATAAAAAAAAGTCCATTACTTGTATATAGGAGGTGTTATGATGACGTACACTGCAACATCTTCCATTGGACACTCCACTTTTCTATATTGCAGACACAAGTGCAATATGTGTTCGTTAATAGTTTCGTTTTTATTTTTTCCGCTCTGTACAATCTATCTTCTTTTGTCAAAATACTAATAATTCTTGTCTAGTTTTAGTCCAGAGTTGCACAAACACTCCCCACCGTGGAGTGTTTTAAGTCTCGACTAAGGCCCACATTTACTCTCTGTGTGAGTTATCTGGTCCTCTGTGTCTTTAATTTATTTATTGTTTTTATCTATTTTATTTATTTAGTACTGCCTTTATTTATTGTTATTTATTGTTAGTTCATTGATTTTATTATTATTCTTTTATCTATTGATTCTATTAGTTCCTCTTGTTTGGGATGTAATTCTGTTGACTTTTTAAACTTTGGAAACTGTTTTGTTTATAAAATGTGCGATACAAATAAAGTTGGATTGGGTTGGACAGGAAATTAGCCAACTAAACATTGCGTCAACAAAAAAGTTAAATCTCTGCATGTGTGAAGGGCAAGGTACATCAGTGTCAGATCGCACCATCCGTCACTGTTTGAGCCAAAGTGGACTTCATATGAGGACATCACTGTTGAAAGTAAATCATAAAAAAGTGAGACTGGAATTTGCCACAATGCATATTGACAAGCCACAAAGTTTCTGAGAGAATGTTCTTTGCACAGGTGAGACAAAACTAGAGCTCTTTAGCAAGACACATCAGCTCCATGTTCACAGACGCAAAAATGAAGCACACCAAGAAAAGAACATTGTCCCTACTGTGAAGCACGGAGGAGGCTTGGTTTTGTTCTGGGGCTGTTTTGCTGCATCTGGCACAGGGTGTCTTGAATCTTTGCAAGGTACAACAAAATCTCAAAACTGTCAGGTATTTTGGAATGAAATGTGCTGACTACTGTCAGAAAGTTGGTCTCAGTCATAGGCCATGGGACTTCCAACAGGATAATGACCAAAAACACACAGCGAAATACACCCAACAATGGCAAACAACAAAACATTGGACTGTTCTGAAGTGTTCTTCTGTGAGCCCAGATCTCAGTTTTATTGAACATCTGTGAAATGAGTTGAAACATGCTGTCTGGAGAAGGAACTCTTCAAACCTGAGACAATTAGAGCAGTTTGCTCATTAGAAGTGGGCCAAAATACCAGTTGACCAGTGCAGAAGTTGCCGCAGAAGGTTGTGCATCAAAATATTAAGTTATTAAGTTAAGGGTACCATCCTTTTTGTCCAGGCCAGTTTCATTATTTTGTTTTTTCTAATAATTCTGTTGAACCACAGGTAAAAAAAAACAATGTTTGATTTACGTAGGACCATTTTCAGTAAATGTTTATTTATTATTGCTTTTATCAGTTTCAAGTTATTTCAGTGATGATTATTGATTTTTCTTTCATTACCAGAGGGGAACCAACAATTTTGAACACATCTGTACATAGTAAAGGTGTTTTTATCGCACAAACATACAGTACATTGAAAAAAACATGCCTTTTTACTGATCTGATCTGATACTTGGCCTGGTGACGTTAGCTTCTTGTTTCTATTGCCATACTGTGGAACATGTAACCTCAGATAGTTTAATATTCTTGTTTTGCTTTTATTTAGATCCGTAGTTTTTGTCTACATGTTGAGATGGGATTATTGGGTGCATCGTGACTTGAAAATTTCCCTTCTGAGACAATAAAGCTGAACCTGAATCTACATGAATGATTTGCTTTAGTTTCATTATGTTGAGATAAAACCCATGAAACTTCTCTTTGACTAAATAAACTCTGACTGTTTTGTCCCTTTGTTTTGTTTTGTTTTTTTCAGAAATCGCTGATAACATGGATGACTTCACTTTCCAGGAGCAGCTTCTGACCCCACGTCTGGCCACAGGAAACATCGACGGAGTCTTATCTAAAGCCACAGTCTGGAAAAACTCACCCATTTTTATATTTTTCTCCTTTGCTTTGCTTGGATTTTGTCTACACTGACCGTTGGCTTCTTCTGAGACTTAAAACTGTCACCAAAAGTCTAAGGTGAACCACGCTGGACCATTTCATTGTGTAAATATGAAACATCGCATACGGTTTTGCATTTTGGACTTTTCAAACAGTTATGAATAGTGGTCAAAGTCAAAGTCAAAGTGGTTATTTTGAGTTTGAAAGTACGAAACACAACACAATACACTACACAACAATATACATACAAATTTACAGCATTCCTTATTTAAAAACAGACTGGGAGTTGTGTTTTGTTTCTTTCACACATGTTTAACACACAAATCCTGCAGATTTAGGCTAAGTTCTTCTCTCAAATGGAAAACTCTGTTCCACCTTGTGATGTCATGTGGTAATACAGGAAGTGCTCTACTGTGTAACTCCGTACACCTTCATTAGAATCATTTGGGTAATTGAGAACTGAAATTGCCGATCTCAACAGAACAAAAGCTAAAATGTAGCTGTTAACCTGAAAACTACCACTACATGACATCACAAGGTGGAACAGAGCATTTTGAGTTTTGGCGATGTTGACAGACTAATAATAAAGTGTTACTCAAAGATGTGTGAATGAAACAAAACACAACTCCAGGTTTGTTTTTGGGTGGTAACAACATTTAGGACCTTTAAAGCTATTCTTGGTTTCAGACTGGACAAATATGGGACCGTTGCCATTGCGATGACCAATTTAAAACTCAATAGTATGTCTTTTGGATAAGAAAAAGTACTCTAAGGCTACGTTCAGACTACAGGGCTTAACGCTCAATTCAGATTTTTTTCGTGAAAAATTGAATGTTTTTGCGAGGTCGTTCACATTTCCAATTAAACACGACTTGTATGTGACTCCAGTGTGAACATTAAACGGCCCAAAAGTGTCCCACATGCGCACTGGAGGACGTCAACCACAGTGAGCGTGCTCTGTGTTTACAGAAGTTGTCCAAACATGGACGCGAGCATTGAGCACCTGGAGATTTTAAAGTTTCTCTCGTACCGGAGCCAGAACATGAACAACTTACTTGTTTTAAGGAGGAGATTGAGAAGGAGAAGGACGAGGTTTTTGGCCGTGGTGTTTTGTGGGGCAGCGGCAGCGACGTCCGTAGAAAGGAACATGTGGATGTGGACTCGCAGCCAAGAGTGGTGAGTGGAGATGTATAGAATATTGACGTTTGTGGCTTGTTGATAACGTGTAGTTCGGATCAATGTGCTTTGGCCGTTCAGACTGAAGTCGCATGTCAAAAGATCGGATATGTATCGGTTTTAGGAGCACATATCCAAGTGGCCTGGGTCGCATTTGAAAAAGTCGGATCTGTGTCGTTCAGACTGTCATGAAAAGATCAGATACATTTCACATAGGGGCCAAAACATCGGATTTGGGTCACTTCAGGCTGCAGTCTGAATGTAGCCAAAATGTTGCATATCCTCCTGAGACCCGGTCCATTCTTTTGTGTTCTTTATAGTGGACATTGAGTTAAAGAAGTCTATCTGTTTTGAGATACACTGTTAATGGGGGGACTAGGTTCCTTTGCCTAAATAGGGCTGGGGTATTACAGAGTACTATCATGTCCAGAATTAAAAAAAATAACTCAATTGGAGATAGTTTGTGGCTGCACTATGATTTAAAAAAAAAACTAAACTAAATTAAATAAAAATAAAGAAAGTAGAAGGGAGTCTAAAAACTTTTTAAGGCCGCTGTAGAACCTGTTGATCATCAGAAAAATTGTTTTTGTTAGGATTTAATACCAAAATGTCCCCGGCGTCCATTACAGAAAACATGTTATAAAATTATAAATAAAAATAAAATGAACAAAATGTAAATGCTAAGGTGTTCATTTACCTCCAAATAGAGAGAAAATCACTAAAAATATTTATTGCAATACACTTTTTTCTTCAGGTCCCAGGAGGATATAGTCTAACAGGAAGTTTTTGAGGACTTCCCATTCAAAAGATATGTGTTTTTGTTTTAAATTGTTAATCACTATGGCAACGGGTCTAACTTCTCATCAGACTGAAACCAACACATCCTGTACTAGTTATAATCTGGGACTGCCGAATGGAAACGTGGCTGCCCCAACCACCATCGCACACACTACATACTTAAGCCACATAGCTAAAGTCTTGCCAAAGGACACAACAACAGTAAGAACAAGGAGGACTGAACCATTTGCCCTTTGGTTGTAAGATTGCTTTAACACTTTTCACCACTCTCGCCAATGTAGAGAGTTGATTCTAAAACTAAAGTACGCTTTGATTGACCACTGACAATTTCTCCCACGTAAACCAACAAACACGTTCTCACCATTACATATAACGTTTGGAATTAGCTCTTGTTAGCTTCAATTTATCAAAGTGTCCCTAGGCACTTTATTGCACTGATTTTGGGAATATACAAATGTGAATTAGATTAACTTTGATAATGGGGAGGACATATGAGCCAACATTTTTGTAACTCCAGCTGTGCGTTTGCATAGTTGTTTCATTTCCTTTGAACTACTCAAGTGTGACTAGAAAGGTTTCCTCTGATGTCTCTTGGTTCAGTAAATGCCTGCTCTGATTCCTGTCCTGTACAATAGCAGACTCATACATCCCCTCTACTAGACCCACTTCAGAACCTCTGAGAGAGCCACAGGCCTTTAGAACCCACTCCCTGTGTTTAGTCTACAGTGAGTTACTGAGTTAGTGAGTCCCTGGTCCCTGGTCCCTGGTCTCTGGTCTCTGGTCTTGTACCTACTCCTGGTCTGGTGTTTAGTCTCTGTCCTCCAGTCCTGGTCTGGTCTCTAGTCTCCAGTTTCTGGCCCCTGGTCTGGTCATGCTTCTGGTCCCTGCTCTCTGGTCTTTGGTCCCTGGTCCCTAGTCTCTGGTCCCTAGTCTCTGGTCCCTGGTCGTTGGTCCCTGGTCTTGCCTCTGGTCTAGTCCCTGGTCTGGTCATGCCTCTGGTCCCTGCTATCTGGTCTCTGGTCCCTGGTGTGGTCTTGCCTCTGGTCTCTGGTCTCGTCCCTGGCCCCTGGTTCTGGTCTGGTCCCTGGTCTCTGGTCCCTGGTCCCTGGTCTAGCCTCTGGTTTCTGGTCTAGTCCCTGGCCCCTGGTCTGGTCATGCCTCTGGTCACTGGTCTCTGCTCTCTGGTCTCTCGTCCCTCGTCCCTCGTCCCTGGTCTCTGATCTCTGGTCCCTGGTCCCTGGTCATGTCCCTGGTCCCTAGTCTCTGGTCCCTAGTCTCTGGTCCTTGGTCCCTGATCCCTGGTCTTGTCCCTAGTCCCTAGTCTCTGGTATCTAGTCTATGGTCCCTGGATTCTGATCTCTGGTCCCTGGTCCCTGGTCTCTGGTCCCTGGTCCCTGGTCTTGTTCCTGTTCCCTAGTCTCTGGTCCCTGATCTTTTATCTCTGACCTCTGGTCCCTGGTCTCTGATCTCTGGTCCCTGGTCCCTGTTCTTGTCCCTGGTCCCTAGTCTCTGGTCCCTGGTCTTTGATCTCTGATCTCTGGTCCCTGGTCTTGGCCCTGGTCCCTAGTCTATGGTCCCTTGTCTCTGGTCCCTAGTCCCTGGTCCCTAGTCCCTGGTCCCTGGTCCCAGGTCTTGCCTCTGGTCTCTGGTATAGTCCCTGGTCTGGTCATGCCTCTGGTCCCTGGTCCCTGCTCTCTGGTCTCTGGCCCCTGGTGTGGTCTTGCCTCTGGTCTCTGGTCTAGTTCCTGGCCTCTGGTCTCTTGTATTGTCCCTGGTCCCTGGTCCCTGGTCCCTGGTTCCTAATCCCTGGTTCTTGGTCCACAGTCCAGTGGGTGTGTGAGTGAGAGATGAAGCCACTGAAAGCGTCAGTAAGTTCACGTGCAGGTTCAGACTAAATAGTCTGTCTGAAATAACATTCACACACTGTTGATGTTGCCATGTTTGTTTTGGTTTGTTTGGCTGCGTCAAACCACACCTCTGCCCTTGTGCTGTGAAGAAATACTCTGTACTACTACTAAATACTACTACAAGCTCAAACACACACCAACCCCACCCACTCCTCCTATTGGCCTTTGTCAAGCTGAGTGAGTGACAAGTGGATCTAACCAATCACAGTGAAGTATTAACTCTAAGTCTAACAAAATATCTGTGTGTAAACTTACTGACTGAACCATGGCAATTTTCTGTCCATAAATTAAAAAAAAAAAAAAAAAAAACTACCAGAGAACTATTTTCTCTCTCACTCTAGTGTACAGATGTAAGTTAATGTATTTATTCTTTGTTTACACTTTGTTTTTCAAGGCAGATTTCACACGTGTTTTTGGTTTGTGGGATGGACAGGGTCAGACTCTGAACCACTGCGGCCGTTTTGAGCTCCTGTTACAGTAAAGTGTACATAAAACGCTATTTATTTGCATTCATGATTTTGTAAGACTTGTTTTCAACTGCACTTCGATGTAAATAGTATAAGACAAATGCTGCATTCAAGTTCTGCCCAAAATCCGAGAACCCAGCGACTTTCTCAGTGATTTTCTAAGATTGTGATATACTCCGCACTGAACTAGAGCATAGTAAAAACACAGGACCTAGTTTTAGGTTGGGTTTTGTACAAAGTTGTCTCTGTATTTTAAACCAAGTAGCCAACTAGCCATTTGCCAGTTTCTGTAATAAATGTAACTTTATTTTGACCAATGAGGGATGGTTACATTTTATTTGGTTTTCCAATTAAAGCCGTAATATGTAACTTTTTAGCAAACAAAAAAGAGACTAAAATGACAGCATGTTTCAATTGGGTTGTATTCAGTTCAGTGAAAAACTTAGAAAAACATGCGTCCTTACTCTGAGTAGGCTCGCATCTCCACAGACCTTAGTCAAGAAAGGCCTCCTCCTGCTTGTTTCCATGGAAATGTGCTTCATTTGGCTATAATCTTCCACAGTATGGCATCTAACTTACCTGTCTCCATGTAGAATGTTCTGGTTTTAATTTTCTATTTCCCTGGAATCATGCAGGTGATGTGCCACCTACAGAAAGTTACGCATTGAAGCTTTAATTAAAGAGT